GGCCTGATAAGTTTCCGTTGAGAAATCAGTTGCTAGTCTGATGGGGGTTCCTTTGTATGTAACTTTCTGTCTCTCTCTGGCTGCTTTTAAGATTCTTACTTTGTCGTTGTTGTTTGCCAATTTAATTATAATGTGCCTTGGAGTCTGTTCTCTTGGATTCATTTTTCTTGGGACTCTGCGAGCATCTTGGATTTGTGTAGGTTTTTTCTTCTCTAATTCAGGAAAGTTTTCTGTCATTATTTCTTGAAATACTTTTTCCATGTCTACCTCAGTTTCCTTTCCTTCTGGAACCCCTATTATTCAAATATTATTTTGTTTTGTATTGTCCCAAAGCTCCCGTAGGCTCTCCTCCTGCTTTTTAATCTTTTTTTCTAGAAGTTGCTCTACTTGGGTATATTTTTCCATCCTATCTTCTAGCTCACTGATGCGGTCCTCTGCTTCATCTAGTCTACTCTTGATGCTTTCTATTGAGTTCTTCATGGTAGCGATGTCATTTTTCATTTCCTCTTGGTTCTTCTTCAATTCCTCATGGTTCTTCTTCAGTTCCTCGTGGTTCTTCCTCATTTCTTCTTGGTTATTGTCAAATTTCTCTTCCATTCTTTTTAGCCATCCTATGATCATTATTCTGAATTCTTGCTCTGGTAGTCTTGTTGCCTCTGACACTACTTCCTTTTCTGGTGATGCCTGCTTTTCTTTTATGTGCAGACTATGTTTTTGTCTCCCAATGGCCTCTCTTTTCAGGGTGTCTGGTTATGTGGTGTTCCTTCTCCTGCGTTCATTTAAAGGTACAATATACAACACTACCAGGTACAACACAAGAGGCACTTAACAGGAATGTATTTACAATATTAATAACCTCAAATAAAGGTGACCACTAGAGAAAGGCAACTTAGCGGATAGGGGAGAAGGAAGAAAGGTAAAAATAAAATAAAGAAATTTTTTTATAAAATTAAAATTAAAAAAAATTAAGTAAATAAAATAAAAAAAGAAGGATAAAGAGATAGAAAGAGAAGAAAAAAAGTAATGACAAAATAAAGTTGGAAAACAGGGAAAAAAAGAAAGGAGAGAGAGAGAGAGAGAGAGAGAGAGAGAGAGAGAGAGAAAGAGAGAGAGAGAAAGGGAGAGAAGAAGCAAACTAAAAGAGAAATGGGAAACAAACTATATATATGGAGAAAATTGCCAGAGAACAACTACTGAACCCAGCCAATGCCAGTAACAATACTTGGAGATTAATACAAACTACAATATCCACTATTATTAAGTAAGGCTATGATATACAGAAGTAATAGAAACAAACAAAAACAGAGGATTTAAAAAAAAATACAATGCAACAATAACAACACAGGAATAAGCATAACCATTTCACTAAAAAGCATAAAAATTCACAATAATCAACCCTCACACAAACAATGCGCAAAGGATAGAGGGGAGAACAGTTTTTTTTTTTTTTTTTTTTTAACTAGTTAATATAGTACAGAAATTGGTGTTTATACACTTGGATCAGGGGTTGGAACTTAGGTCTATACGTATAGTGAGAGCTTTATCAAGGGGTATACAGAAAGAATAGAGGAAAATCTAGAGCCGGAAAGGGATAGGATAAACCGTCGACTAAAAGGGTAAAGTTTAGTAAGAGAGTGATGGTGTAAAGGTCAAGTTGAGATAGGGTTGAATGATGCTATAGTAGTGATTAAAATAGAATGGAGGTTATTCCCAATGTAAAGTACAGAGGAAAATAAAATAAAATGGTATTGGAGAGGAAACAAACAGACAAAGAAACAAACAAACAAACAAGAAAAAACAAAGAACAAAAAAAAAAAAGGAAAGAAACAAAAATTGCAAAATAGCAGTAGTAATAGTGATGATAGAGATTGATAAATGTAATAATTGAAAAGGTAAAATGAAGTAAGGAAAATAATAGAAAAAATTTTTCTTAAGTAAATGCTATAAAAAGTGAAAATTAAATAAAAGATGTAAAAAATGAAAATAAAATAAAGAATAGTAAAATTAGCATAAAAATGTCCAGTAGTGGTCATTCACTTCCTCTGTTAATGTATTTGGCACTCCTGATTCTCGGACCAGACAGTCTTGCAGTCCCCAGCATTCCACTGCACCTCAGTTTTGTAAGGTAAACCTTAATTTTAAGCAGGTTATATCTTAGTTATTTGTGTCCATTTATTTTTGATTAATTATAAGAAAAAAAAAGAAAGAAAAAAGAAAAAAAAAAAAGAAGAAGAAGAAGAAGAAAAAAAAAGGCAGTTTGTAATTCAGCTCTTAGGTGTCAGTGTTTCCGGTTTGACCTCCCAGTCTTTTTGGTTGCTCTGGCCTTCTTTCTCTATGGCTCTAGCTGGCTCCAGGACTATGTCTTCTGGCTCCAATCCCTTGTTTCCAGAAGGCAAATTCCCCCTACAATTTCCCCGGCTATGCCCAACTGGGCAGTTCTCCCCTAGTATTCAGAAGCAAGGGGATGAATGGGAACCGGTGCCAAGGTGTCCAGATGTTCCGCCCTTGGCGGGACAGCCGCGATTCTTAACACTCTGTCCCGTGTCCCCTGGCGTTTTAAAAAAGTCCCGCTTCTGGGGGGGATTACTTCAAACCCAGGTGTCGCTGCAGCCTTCTTTGGGCTCCGCTCTGCCTCAGTGGGCAGTAGTTTGCGCACCCGCCTACCGTGGAGGCAGGGCTGAAGCTCCCCGGCTACCATAGCGGAGGCGGGGCCGGAGCTCGCCGCAGCGGAACCCAGACCCCTCAGGCTATCCCCGCAAACTCTGACCTTTCCGTGGGTGACTGAAGATCTCCCCGGAATCCACGTGTCTGCGCCGCTCCGGGAGTCTCAGCTGCTCGATGGACCTCCGGGCTGTGCGTTTTCCACGCCTCAGAGAAGCTCTTTCCTTCCTGGCAAGACAATGCAGCCCTTCCTCCACGCCCGCAGCCCACAGCTCGCTGCCTCCACTGTCGTGCTGCTGCCGACGCCGCTGCCACTGCTGCCGCGGCCGTCCTGGCCGCTTGGTCAGGAAATCCTGTCCAGCGGACCCTCTCTTACCCTCCTTGAGAACTCCACTGTCCCTTAGCTGCCAATCAACTCTCCCTGAGCGACTCAGAAGCCACCTTTATCCGTTCTGGGACCAGAGTCAGAACAGGTCCGACTGTTAGGTCGCCATCTTCAAGCTCCGCCCCCTGAACAGTTTTTTTCTGAATACAATTTTATGTTCAATAGAAAATGTTAGACATTATTATAAGAAACAATATATATGTGTAAGAGTACAACTGCATTTTCAAATACAAGGTAATTAGTATTTTAGAAAGCAGCAGTTTTTCAATTTTTTTAAAAGCTAGCAATCATGCAAAAAATGAACATTACAAGAAACTGAGTATACAATTTTTGCCATGAAAAGATGAATATAATTAAAAACTTAGGCAGCTTTCTTTCACTTTAATAAGAATTGTGGGTAAAGACTGTAATATCAGAATAACCAAACCTAAGAACACTCAGCTTCTTCTTCTTCTTCTTCTTCTTATTATTATTTTAATAAGAAACAGAAGAATACATTCCATTCTATGTACTGGCTGTGTTAAAAAGACACACAGTACATGTCCAGATAGGCTGCTAAAGTGCAATAAAAGCAAGTGGATTTATCACAGTGTAGTCATTGACATAGCATGTTGTTAATTAGTTAATACAAATAAGTACAATTATACTTTAACTATATTGATCTTATATACTTATTCTTTGTTTATTGTTTTATTATCTTTGCACAGATACAAATTTATCTATTAAAAAGAAGCAAAACAATAGTAAGCAGTGTCAAAATGTATAGTACTTGTTTTTATAAAATGCTACTCAGACTGTCACATTTTATTTATTTATTTTTAAAAAAATATATTTTATTGATTTTCTACAGAGAGGAAGGGAGAGAGATAGAGAGTTAGAAACATCAGTGAGAGAGAGTCATCGATCAGCTGCCTCTTGCACACCCCCTATTGGGGATATGCCCGCAACCAAGGTACATGCCCTTGACCGGAATCAAACCCGGGACCCTTCAGTCCCCAAGCCGACGCTCTATCCATTGAGCCAAACCGGTCTCGGCAGACTGTCATTTTAAAATTTGAAAACAAAACTCCAACTCTTGCCTTTCAAACAGCACATTTTTTATCAGGAATATTCTTTAAAGAAAAAAGTTATCTCCTCTGTTACATCAAAGGAGATAGAAAGATTCCATAGGCAGTCTTAGAAATTTGGCTGAGAATATTTTATAGATAAGGCATCTGTGACCAAAATAGGTTAAAAATATTAAATATAATCTTTTTTATAAGGGCACTGATGTCTCTAAGTTGCTAAGAAATTTAGAGTAGCTGTGGCCCTGGTCACCTTTTTTTTCCGGATAGTCTGACCTTGTTTTCATATATAAGGCAGTTCCTAACTGTCCATGAACAAGGGGACAGGCATGGAAAACATAAACCTTATGATAAAAATGTTTTATTTGATAATAAAATCAAGTTTTCCATTGAAACTTTTATAAATTTTGTAAAAAGAAGCATTGATACATGTGCACGGATAAAATGTTCTTCATACAATAAAATAAAATATTTCTGCCTGCCTTCCTATTTTTTTTTTTAAGATGAAGGATATTGTTCTTTTCACCTCGAGTCAAATTTTTTATTGGTGAGAGACTATGTTGATGACAATTACCTATTAATGTGAGAACTCTGGGATTCATTTTCTACTGTCTTACGTTAAAGTGTTTTTCAGCTCATCATATCTACATTTACTTGGTTAATGAGTTAAAGCTTTTTCAGGATGAACTCATAGTATACCAAGTAGACAACGAGACAGATTCTCAGCTTAAATGCACATTAGACTGTATTCTTATACTCTCAGGCTGCCTATCAGAGCTAACACAAAATGAAAGTAATCTGCAAAAGCAAATAAGTGAGGGTTAACTGTAAGCCCAATCCAACTTTTCTAACTTTTTAAAAACCCATAACTGCTGATTTTCTTTGTCCATCTATCTTGATGAATGTTGTGGTGATCTTTCAAAGTACATGAAGTCCTGAAGTTGGAAAAAGAGAGAGAGAGGGAGAGAATTATGTATATAAATACATAAATAATTTGATGTAATGCATAAAATATTATCCTTTATAATTTACCTTGAAATTCTCCTGAACCAGTTAAGAAATCTGATAAATCTTTATAAAGAGGACTGTATAAAGAGTAGCAATTACATACTTAAAACTGTTGGTAGTCAATACATTCTCCATTTGAGATACTAATTAAATTTTTATTGTTAAAGGAAAAAATACTTGATAATATTAAATATGCTAAATATACCAACTGCAATATATTAGTGAGATATTTCAGGTAAATATTATTAATTTTATTTCTATGCTTTCCTTATAACTATTAACTAGAAATGCAATAAAGGGACTGCATCTAATAAATCTAAGGATAGTATAACACCAAGCAGTACACTGACGGAGAGACAGTGAGGTAGAGGAAAAGAACATCAGCTTTAGAGTTATTTATTACATTAAGAAGTCACAGGATAGGTTTTAAAAAATACCTATTTATAATAATATAGCATTCTTCTGGACAAAGTTGGGACTGTGAGGGGAACCTGGGTTCCAGGTGCCTGCTGGTGGCCGGAGGGAAGCCAGCATCAGCAACCAGGGGAAGGAAGGCCTACTCTTGCACTTAGAACAGGTAATTATCCCATATAATAAGAGCCTAATATGCATCGGGCCTATATATATATATATATATTATATATATATATATATTTCAGTGAAGAAGGGAGAGGGAGAGAGAGAAATAATGATGGGAGAGAATCATTGATTAGCTAGGGATTGAGCCAGCAACCTGGGCATGTGCCCTTGACCAGAATTGAACCTGGGACCCTTTATCCACTGAGCCAAACCAGCTAGGGCAGATAGGCTTTTTTAAGTAGTAAAAATAATCAATAACATGCAATGATGATCCCATTGGATGCCTAATACCTCCCAAGCACTCTCTTGCCCCATTATTCATATGGTAGTTAACTTTTATAACCTTGAAAAAATAAGTATTTTTATCTTTATTTGATAGACAAGGAGATTGAGGCTTGCAAGTGCTAAACACTTTACAAAACATGCAACTAGTAAGTGGTAAAGACAGAACTTGGACTAATTTCAAAGCTATTGTCTTTTTACTACACTACTTCTTATCAGAAAGAATAATTGTCTCAAGATAACTCAAAAGCAAAAGGCTTACAATAAGGAAGCAAGCTCCAAAAATCATAGCTTTCATCTTCACATCCAGGTCTAATGGAAAGTGAATGTCAAAGTGGTCAGCATGGCCCATGGCTGACATTAAACCATTCCACTTTCTAATGATACTGCCGATGTTAGAGACACCATCGATGGCTTTGACCTAGGAAGATAAGAATTTTTAGACTTTTTGGTAACTAATACTGTGTAGCTTACACTTCTCAGGCCAGTGCTCTTCTTCATCCTCAAATGAGTTATTAAGGAGATATGACTTGTACTGATTTTGAAGTTCTTCTCCATATAACAAAGGGTGGGATTGGGGGTTGGAAAGGGAATTTCTTCTAGTCTAGGGAAACACGAAGCATGGTTCTGTGCACTTCACAAACTCCATATAATCACTTAAATTTACATGTGACAAACAAATCAATCTTTTTAAATTATGCCAGGATCCCAAAGGACTTCAGCTTCTATAAGGGAAACACTGACACTTGCCAGAGGGAAAGCAGTCAGACACTGACTTTCAGTGATCAGAGTGATCCCACACTTCCTGACCCTGAAATCTGGCTTATCTATATTTTTTCCCCACATGGTCTTTTAAAAAATAAGCAATGCTTGATGACATTGTAAGATAAACTGAGACCTAAGAGAAGTTTATTTAATATCATGGGCAATACTAGAAAGAGCAATTTTAGATTGCTGAATTACAAGGCATTCAGAAAGAATTTTAAGAAGCTCAGGAAATATGTCTAAGCATTTCCTTTGTCAGATTCATAGGATTATAAGTAATCATTTTGTATCCATAGAGATAAAAGGTAAAACAAAAGGATTTTTCTTTTTCCTGAGAAAATGTTATAGCTATGAGTTTTATCTATGTTACCAGCATTGTCCTGTTTCCTAAGGACACAGACTTCTATTCTGCAAATAAGCAACATGTGTAGCCTCGGGGTCTGTGAGAAGGTGGGCACTATCATTCCTCAGGACATATTTTTTGATCCTGGAAATCTTTGGTAAAAAACAGTTAATTAAATAGAACCAAGAATAAAATAGATTTATGTCAGGCTACTTACTCTTACAATTAATGTTCTCTTCTCTTATCTTTATAAAACACTAAAAATATTTTTTTTAAATCTTACATTTTAGAAAACATTAAGCAATCCATTAACAATAATTTGAAAATCACATAATGTCAACCAGTTAACTTCTCATATTAATTTACTGATTCACATGAAAAATGATCTAAACCAAATCATTCTTAAATCTGTTAGAACATACAGAAAAAATGGAAGAAATGTTTTTATATTTGTTTACCTCAAACACAGAATCTGAGCCACAGCCATAGGTTGAGCATGGCCCACGGATGCTCAACACATTTTCTTTCTTCTCATTTTGGATGCTGTACACCGCCCGGCACAGGTTCCAGTGGTCCATAACAAAGCCAATGGTGATGCCAGGAGGACACTGCACCTCTAGCTGCAAGTGAAGCATGACAGAAGGGAAGATGTTATATATGTACTAGAGGCCCAGTGCACAAAATTCATGCATGGGGGAGGCTGTCCCTTAGCCCAGCCTGCACCCTCCTCTCCAATTTGAGACCTCTCAGGGGATGTCCGATTGCCCTTTTAAGGATCAGGCCAAAACATGAAGTCAGACATCCCTCTCTCAATCCAGGACTGCTGTCTCTCAATTGCTCATCTGCCTGACTTCTTGATTGCCCTTAATCGCTTCTGCCTGCCAGCCTGATCACACCCTAATAACTCCCCTGCTAGGCTGATTGATGCCTACCTGCTCCTCTGCCAGCCTGTTTGCGCCTAACTACCCTCCCCTGCGGGCTTGGTCAACCCTAACTTCCCTCCCCTGCAGGCCAGGTCCCATCCACTGCTCTCCCCTGCAGGCCTGGGTCCTCCTCAACTGCCCTTTCCTACAGGCCCAGTCACCCCAACTTCCCTCCTCTGCCAGCCTGGTCACCACTAACTGCCCTACCCTGCAGGCTTGATCGACCCCAACTGCCCTTCTTTGCAGGCCTGGTCCTTCTCAACTTCCCTCCCCTGCTGGCCATCTTGTGTCCACATGGGGATAGGATCTTTGACCACATGGAGGCAGCCATCTTAGGTGATGGAGTGATGGTCAATCTGCATATTACTTTTATTAGATAGGATAGAGGTCTGGTGCAAGCCTCCCTCCTGCTCGCTCTGTGGCTGCAGCCATCTTGGTTGGGGTTACTTTGCATATTTGCTCTGATTGGCAGGTGGGCGTGGCAGAGTGATGGTTAATTTGCATATTACTCTTTTATTAGATAGGATAAATACACATACACAAAACCCAGATGTAGCCTTAATCCATTTGAGGACTGGGGAATTGTTACTCTGAAACTGTCTTTCATTTTACTTGGCTATTTCTTAGGCTTGTATTTCAATGAACAGCCTTGAGAAATAAGGTCATGATTCCCTCTGAGACAAAGTTACTAAGCCAATTCTCCAAGCTTGGTGTCCTCAGTTGTATACGTAGCATCTCTCTGGGCTGCTCCGAGTCAACCCCGTAGAACTTGGGGATAAGGGGACTTGCATAAATATGCTTATGTTCATGCTGCTTTATGTGTTTTAACAAAGATCATATGTTTTATCTAGGTGTCTCACATCTTACAGCAAAATACACAGAAACAGTAACAAACCAACTTCTTAGTTTACATGTCAGACATAACAACTATAAAAGAAAACAAACCAGAAAAGAAACATCCTGAACACTGTATGTTAGGAAAGTAGCTGAATGTGTTATGGGTATATAAAACCATTTTAAAAAGAGTTCTAAATGTTGTCCAATACTCTCGGCTAATTATCTTTACAATATTCCTTTGGGAAGAACTAAGATCTTCCTATTTAATAATATCAAGATTCACAAAATTAAATTATCTGTTAAAAGACCAAAGGAAAAGTTCTGATGATTTTCCTGCTGTTTTACATACTTTTCTAAGACTTTTGTGTCCCTTGAATATCATCATAGGGCAAGACCTTCATGAATTGTCAAATTAAGATATCATTGTTCATATATATAAAATCACACACATATACAAACATATATGATATATTTGATAGCTTCCTGGGAGTGAGATCTCATATAAGTTTAATCTTGAGATTAAAAAAAAAGTATATACAAATAAATTAGATTCATAAGAATCCATATCATTCAACCATAAAAGGAATGAACTATTAATACATGTCACAACTTGTATGAACCTCAAGGTAAATTATGTTGAAAAAATCCAGTCCTAAAAGGTTCCATACTGTATGATATTCTTGAAGTGACAGTGTTAGAGAGTGGGAATTTTTGAGCATGCTTCCTCCTAGTCCACTTGGCCATAAATCCCAACTACAACTCACAAAATAGCCTATGAGAACAGGATGCTAGTGAGCCTTACAGGATAGATCACTGTCAGTTTTCTTGAGAACGGGAGGCTAGTAAGCCTTATAAGATAGATCACTGTCAACTTTCCTGAGAATGGGATGCAGTTATTTACTCCACCAGGTGCCAGGACCCTGTAAATAACATGCTGACATTACTTAAGAAAAACTGCTTTGTTTTAAATTGTTTGCTGTGCAAAACAGGATGTAGTGAATGTGTTTAAAAACTGTCCTTCACAAAGGGTCAGGGCTGCTCTCTGGACTCACTCCATGGAGAGAGAGCAGACGCCGGCCGGCTATTAAAGGCTCCCTAAATTTTAATTTGGTCTGGACTCCAGTGGTCATTTACTCGAATTCGCTCCACAACAACAGTTATAGAGATGGAGAACAGATTAGTGGTTGCTAGGGTTAGAGATGATTAGAAGAGAGAGAGGTAGGTGTGGTTATAAAGAGTTTTATATGGTAATAAAACTTTCATATTTGAATTATGGTAGTGGATACAGTAATCTATATAGCTGATAAAACACACATGCACATGTAAACTAGTTTACACACACATGCACATGTAAACTAGAGAAATCAGAAAAAAATCTAAATAATGCTGTGGGACAAAAATTCCATATACTGGATTAAGGCAGTAATACTGATTTGTTTTACTGTATCCTGCCCTTATAGGTTTTGATTTATAAAGCCCAACTCATAAATACATACCCAGAAAACACACACAATTCTTACTAAATAAAAGAATCAAGGATAAGAGATGGAAATTCAACTCAAATATAAGGACACACACAAACAAACATGACAGAAATTATAAAAAAGTAAGATATCTGACAACAATAGCTAATATCCATTGAGCACTATAATAATTGTAAGCACTGCGCTAAGAAAATGATGTTTACTTACCATTTAATCCACAAAACAATCATCCCATGAGATAGGTGCTATTTTTAAATATATATTTTATTGATTTTTTTACAGAGAAGAAGGGAGAAGGAGAGAGATAGAGAGTTAGAAAATCAATGAGAGAAACATCAATTCAGCTGCCTCCTGCACACTCCCTACTTGGGATGTACCCACAACCAAGGTACATGCCCTTGACTGGAATTGAACCTGGGACCCTTCAGTCTGCAGGCTGATGCTCTATCCACTGAGCACAAGAGATAGGTGCTATTAATATCTCCATTTTATAGGTGAATAAGTCAAAGCACAGAAAGGGCTGTATGTCAATTACTATAGTAAATGCTGTACTTATCATTTAAATACTCCATTAATCAAGGGGCTATTGTTCTGCCCAGTGTACAACACTAAGGTTCAAAAACATTAAATTGTACAAATTTAAGTAGGTGGCATACATAAAATTCAAGTTTTCTTGGACCTCTCTCTAAAACTGTTTTTATTTCCCTGTAGCAAACAACTTTCCTAAACTAAATAGACTGTAGAACAGTAAACAAACTAACTCAGAACATCTGCTTTTCAGTTCCAGCACCACCGTCCACCATGTGCAACACCATTAGCAGGCATATCAGCAGGTGCAGGTTGTGATGGGTAGAGTAAAAGTATCTAAAGGCGCTACCAATTCTAATACTAGAGGCCTGGTGCATGAATTCATGCATGGGTGAGGTCCCTTGGCTTGGTCGGCAATAGAGATATATTGGGGGAGAAGGGGACTGACCAGCAGTGGGGAGGGACCACAGGAGGTTGGCCTGCTGGAGGGACTGTGGAAAGTTGGCCAGCCAGCTGGAGGGTGGTAAGAGGGGTCATGGGAGGTTGGCCAGCTGGTCTGGGGAGGGAGCTGTGGAAGGTTAGCTGGCCTGGGGGAGGAGCCATGGACCATTGGTTGTGGGAATGCACTGACCACCAGGGGGTAGCTCCTGCATTGAGCGTCTGCCCCCTGGTGGTTAGTGCATGTCATAGTGACTTGTAATGCTTGCTCAGGCTTTTATATATATATGTGTGTGTGTGTGTGTGTGTGTGTGTGTGTGTGTGTATATGTGTGTGTGTGTATGTATGTATAATATATATATACTAGTAGCCCTGCACATGAATCCGTGCTCCAGTAGCTTGCTGCTCCTCCAGTAACTCTTCGCCTACTGCCCAGCCCTCCTGTAGCTCCCACACGCCCTTTCACAGCTTGCTGCCCTGCCCCCTCCTATAGCTCTCTACTGCTTGCTTTTAACTAGCAGCTTGCTGCTGCCCTCCTGTAGCTCTCTGCCTGCTACCCCGCCCTCTTGTAGCTCCCTACGCCCTCTCCCCCCATCTCCCTACCTTATAGCTTGCTGTGCTGCTCCCTCCTGTAGCTCTTCACTGCCCACTTGTAGCTTACTGCCCCACCCTCCTGCCATTCTGTGATCCAGTCATTACATGGTCTGTCACAAATTATATCTTTATTATATAAGACTAATAGATATGTTTACATTTAGCATAGCTTATCTGGAAACATTTAGGTAAATGTGTGACTCCTATTTTAGGTGATAGGTAAACTTCTAAATTCTATTAGGCACAGCTCATAGAATTGTGGTTACTGAATAAATAATTTTGCTTGACCCACCCATTAGCATTAAAGAGCATAAACTGACAGAAAAAGTCCTTTGTTATTTGTCTGAGGTGAGACAATTTGGTTTTCTCTCTTCTCACAGGGCCCGTGGAATGCTCTCCCCCGCACCCCCTTGCAGTTTTGGAAAGAGCACAGCCGTGTGTGAATAGGTGGATCAGAAAGAAATAATGGATTAGACTTCCATTCTTTAACCTCTTGCCTGGTGGAGGGACAACAGAAGCAACAGCAGGTGCATCTGAAGGGTCTCTGCATTGTCATGATTTCTCGGCCCATAAAGTCAGAGACCCGGAGGACAAAGGGCCTTAGTGTCCGGTAAGCATTCCTGGTAAAGTCGTCTGTGTCTTCAGTTACAATGTACACCATCTGGTCCAGGTTGTTTTTAATATCATATTTATTATTAGTTTCAAAATGTGTTATCACTGAAAAATAAAATGAGGAAATTGTCTTACATTAGAAGTAGTTAAAATGGGTCTCAAAAGGGGGAATAAGAGATATAAACTTCCAATTATTAAAAAAACAAACAAACAAAAAAAGTAGCGAAAACCGGTTTGGCTCAAGGTCCCAGGTTCGATTCCAGTCAAGGGCATGTACCTTGGTTGTGGACACATCCCTACTGAGGGGGTGTGCAAGAGACAGATGATTGATGATTCTCTCTCACTGATGTTTTTAACTACCCCTCTCTCTTCCTCTCTGTGAAAAATCAATAAAATATATATTTTTTAAAAAGTTATAGGGATGTAACATACAGAATAGGAAATAGTCAATAATGTCGCCGAAACCGGTTTGGCTCAGTGGTAGAGCATCGGTCTGTGGACTGAAAGGTCCCAGGTTCAATTCAGGTCAAAGGCATGTACCTGGGTTGCAGGCACATCCCCAGTAGGGGGTGTGCAAGAGGCAGCTGGTCGATGTTTCTCTCTCATCGACGTTTCTAGCTCTCTATCTCTCTCCCTTCCTCTCTGTAAAAAATCAATAAAATATATTTTTAAAAAAGTAAAATAATGACCTAATAACTTTGAATGGTGACAGAAGATAACTAGATTTATTCTGGTGATCACATTATAAGAAATATAAATCACTATGTTGTACAACTGAAACTAGTATAATATTACATGTCAACTATACTTTAATAAATGTAAGTCCTTTTAGGGGCTTAAAGCAGAATAGCTTTGATAAAATTTCAGGTAAAATATGTGTAATTGATTAGAATGTTAAAATAATTTGTATAACTTATAAGTATTTAAGTAATTTTAAACTTTGAAACATTTATTTTAAGAAGTTCAGTGTAAAATGATTTTTAAAGCTTTTCCATGTGAGCAAAGATTGAAACAATATTTCTAGAGTACTTAAATTCAGAAAAAATAATTAACAACCATATAAGTGAATAAGACACTGGGGCTAGAACTTAGATAACAGTGGCAGAGCTGCAAATCTGCTAACTATGATGCCTCTAACTAATTTAAATTCTGGCTCCTTCTTTTTCTCATCCATGAGAAGTTAACATGTAGGAGCTGGGATGGGTAGAGGTAGTGCCATTGTCCAGATAAAATATAAATCTTTGCAAAGTCTAAAACTTACATATGATCTATAAATATATAAAATTATCCAATACTTTCATTACTTTTCTGAGAAGAGGATATCCTTTTCTCTTTGAGGCACTAAAAAGTGGTCAATATAAATAAGGAAATAAACATTGGATAATGGGCATTTCCACCTGGTTCAGATACTGCCAATCACTACTGAATTAATTATACATACTTTCCAAAGGTTCAAAATGCTGAAGAACATGTATGTTGTCCAACTGTTGGGATAAAAAAAAAAAAAGCAATTAGGAGAGCTAGAAGTAACAGAATTAAAGCATTAGAAATTAAACTGATGAGATAGGTATTAAAATAGATTGATAGCAAAATATATTTTTGAAATAGAATTGAATAAAAAACATTTTGATAAAGTGGAATCAGCTCATATACATTTAACTAGGTGGTTACTAGAGCTATGGAGATAGGAAAACCACTTTTCTCCAGTTCCACTGCAAGAGACTGATACACTTGTCTAAAATATCAGAAAACCACCTCCCACCATAGTAACAGTATTAGAAGCAGCTGAGCTGATACAAGTTTTCCCTAGCTCAGTTCCTACTTAGTCTCTCTAGCATACCACTCAGACTAGAAGTGTGCAGGAACTTCAGGACCTTTGGACAAGGACCAGCTATAGAGAAAGACATTTTTCTCAGTGGCTTGGGAAGAGTGAATCAGCCAAGGTGGATTCCGCTCCACACGGGAGTGTCCAATTTTATAACATTTTCCAGGTACTTCTGAGAGATTAACATACTGATTTCCACTTGTTTGAGCTATTAAACGCTAAGACCTTCCTAGGTGCACACTTTAATTCTGGGAGGGTCTGAGAGGACAGGAAGCAGGTGAATGGACAGGATGAGGGCAAAGGAGAGGAAACTTTCTGGGATGGCATCTCTTCAAAAGGGAGGTTGGGAATGCAATTAAATAAATGTCTAATTTCACTTAGGAATCACTCTAAAGAGACACAGTTAAATGGGCCCATTCTAAGTTATACTTGAGAACATGGTAACAGAAGAGAAAAATCTCCTTGAGGACAGACTGATTATATTTATACAATTTTATATAATATAGATAAGACCATTCCAAATCCCTGAGTCTAGAACACTGCCTGGAATGCTACATTTCACCAAATATTTATTGAATACATTAACTAATGAAAAATACACAAATGTGATTAATAAATAAAATTTAAAATTATAACTTGACATTAATGTTTTCTAGTAATTGATTGTAGGAGGGTATAGAGCAATGGTTCCCAACCTTTTTTTAGCTATGCCCCACATAAGCATCTCTAAAATCCTGATGTACCCCCTGTGAAATATAATTCTTATTATTCAAAAAGTGAACTATTCATGTGGAGGAAGCTTAAAAGGCCATTAACTTGGTTTAAACAAGCTTCCAAAGAACATGGCATCCATGAAAGAGAAAAATAAAAAAAAGGAAGGACAGCTGAAGTATTAAGGAAGAAATCACTAAGAAATTGTTAAAAAAAAATTAATATGAAGTGATATGAAAAAATACCAAATAAAGTTTCAAAACATATGAGAACTGAAACGCATTAAATGTCACAATATATACTTATATATTACATATGAGGCCCCTGGAACCATAAATACAAAAAAAAATTAATTGTTAATTCATTCTCAAATTGCCCCCTCCCTTAAAAATCAAATTGCTCCTCTTTGGGGCTTGTGCCCCACGTTGGGAACCACTGGTAGAGAGAGAACATAATCCTTCCTTCATTCAAAACTTTTTTTGTATGAAAACAAAATCAGGTGAGGGGTTTAAACATGTTTTAAAAATATCAAAAGTGGCCACTATGGTGATGGCACCTTAAAAAATCTAGAAAGTGCCCTAATTGTTTGGCTCAGTGGATAGAGCATAAGCCTGCAGACGGAAGGGTCCCAGGTTCTATCCTGATCAAGGGCATGTACCTTGGTTGCAGGCACATCGCCAGTAGGGGGTGTGCAGGAAGCAGTTGAGTCAATGTTTCTCTCTCATTGATGTTTTTAACTCTCTATACCTCGCCCTTCGTCTCTGTAAAAAACACACACATAAAACAAAACTAGAAAGTTAAAATCTAGTATTAAGTAAAAATATTCACTGTATGATAAAAGCACCCACTGTTGAACAAAAATTTCTAAGGACATGACATCCATTAGTGTGGAAGAATTTTGCCCAATAAGGTAGTATGGCTGTTAAGAAACAGCACTCAAACAAACTGGTGGAGTGATGGGCTATGCCAATACTCTAATCCTGCTACTTTATTATTTATTTATTTATTTATTTATTTATTTATTTATTTATTTATATTTTATTGATTTTGTACAGAGAGGAAAGGAGAGAGATAGAGAGCTAGAAACATCAATGAGAGAGAGTCATCGACCAGCTGCCTCTTGCACACCCCCACTGGGGATATGCCCGCAACCAAGGTACATGCCCTTGACCAGAACCGAACCCGGGTCCCTTCAGTCCCCAAGCCGACACTCTATCCATTGAGCCAAACCGGTCTCGGCGAATCCTGCTGCTTTAAATGCTACAATATTGATAGTCCTGATAAAGATTCCTGTGATCTGCAAATAAGATGGCAGGAAGGGTAAGATAAATAAAATGATAAAGAAGATGATGAGACAAACACAAATATAAAAAAATAAAATCAAACAAATAAAACCAAACAAACAAACAAACAAACAAGAAGATGAAGGGCTCTATGTCTTCTGCTCACATACAAGGTATTTTAACTAATAAATTCACATAGCTATCATCTGTTGGGTGGGCCCTGTGTGCCAAAAATATTAGGCACATTACAAACCTATTCAAAGTTATATAATAAGGGGGGAGCAGAGCTAGAATTAAAATCCAGATTTGTCTGGCTTCAAACCTGTTTTGTTTCTTTTTACTCAAAATATTCCTGAAAGGAAAAACAGAATTCATGAAATATGTTAATATAACATTAGTCAGAGTAATAGAAAAAAAAGGTTTTTTTGTTTTTGTTTTGTTTCTGTTTTTTTTTTTTTTAATTTAAAGCCTTTCTTGTTTAAAGTATTATATGGATCTCCTTTTTCCCCCCATTGACCTCTCCCTAGTCACTCCCACTCCCAGCACATGCCCTTACCCACCTAGTGTCTGTCCACTGGTTATGCTCATATGCATGCATACAAGTCCTTTGGTTGATCTCTTACCCCTTCACCCCCCCGCCTTCCCTCATAGGTTGGACAGTCTGTTCGATGCTTCTATGTCTCTCTGGTCCTATTTTTGTTCATCAGCATAATGCTCTCCAGTTCCACTCAATTTTTACAAATGGTAAAAAGTCCTTCTTTTTTACAGCAGCATAGTATTCCATTGTGTAGATGTACCATAGTTTTCTAATCCACTTGTCTGTTGATGGGCACTTAAGCTAGAGAAACTGTTTTGTTTTGTTTTTATATACATTTAAGTGAACAATATTGAAGCTATACATTTTCAAAAGAGAAATGACTCCAGATTTATGATTTCCAAGGACAATTTGAGTTAATTATTTTGTATAATAAAAGACTTCCCAAAACTGAGTAACTTATACACATTTTATAAGCTTCTCAAATAATACAGAGGTAGTTTAATCTACCACTTTACCTGAATGACTGGCTTTGCATCTTATCAATATTTTGCCAAAACAACAATTTAATAAAAATTTTGACTCATTTATAATCCAAATTTTCCTGATCTAACTCTAATGACTTGCAAGAATCAATAATATCACATTGTAGCTATGGTTTCAATACAGAGGATTATCAAGGCCATTTTCATTATATAAAAATGAAATGAAACATATCAACTTAAAGGAGTATTTGGATGACTATATGGGAAGACAATTTAATAGGCAATTTCCTTACTTGTAATGCATTTCTTTTTTCAAAAAGTAAAACATGACTCAGTTGTTTCTAAGGGACTGAAACAACTATCCCTAACCCTAAACATAACCTTAACACTAACCCTAACCCTAGTTTCATCTTATTTTCATTAAGCAATCCTTTTTAGTTTTTGACATGGGTTTTGAAACATAACATTTACTAACATTTACTACAGCAACCTGGCAAACTGCCATTTCTGATTTGGACATTCTGGTAGCTCCAGAATGTCTACACAAGTGGAAATTAGAGAGTCACTGTGCTTGAGAAGTGGTTCTTTGCAACCTGGCCTGAAGCCATATCTTTGGTAGGTCCCCTATTTTTATTAACATTGCATGTTTTTTTGGCAGAAGAAGCATGGATGATGAAAGCTATGGGTAGTGAGAAAAGGTAATGGGCTAAGGAACTCAGTAACTCATTCACTGTTTATTGTTCTGTTCTTTTTTACTAGTACGTTGCTTTTTTTTTTCATGTTAACTCTACTTCTTTGCAAATGACACTCTGATTAGGATCTCTGTTAGTTTTTCTTGTATTCATATTCCTACATTTTAAACTGCTTTTGACAGAGCATCATGAATGTGTTAAAATTCAACATATATCCTTTAGAAAAACCATATTCATCCCTCCAAAAACACACTTACACTCTCTGACCTCCTTTCACATTTCTAAAATTAGTGCCATCACTCTTAGTCTCACAAATTAGATTTCTGTTATCACTAGTCTGTTACTTTACCCACTCAAATTTAGTCTTTTGTGTCTTATTGAATCCTCAGTCATACTTCATTAGAAAATATATATTGGATTTGTGTAAAGTACCTGTGTTAAGTATTCCAGACCAGGAGGGCAGTCTGCCATAAGAGTTGGCCCTGGCATCCATATTATTGAAGCAGGCTTATTTGGCACAGGATAGTTGCCAGGCTGGTACTGGATAGGATGGGTACTACTAGTTGGCTGACAATATGAGAAGGCACTGGGCTGCTGTGGATCATATCCCATAGACAAGCCTCTTGGGTAGCCTGCAGGGAGAAAAACAGATGCTCCAGGGGGTCCTGTGTTAAAAAACAAATGAAAGTATTACATACCATTAACATGGCAATATATTGGAAGTTAGCATGACTTTTTACATGAAGATGTTATGGATCACATAACATCCACTTAGAAATAACAAGATGTTCTAATTTCTGAGTATGTACTATTGTACCAACACTGTTCTAAAGGTATTGCGTATCAATGTATTTACCACCAGTCCTCTTAAATCTTATGATACAATTAAGATGCCTGGTGCACAAAATTCATGCACTGGTGGCAGGGGCCGGGGGGAGGGGGGAAGAGAGGTGTCCTTCAGCCCAGCCTGCACCCTCTCACAGTGCAGAATCCCTCACTCCTTACTGCCCACATGCAGTGGAGGTGGTGGGAGAGACTCCCACTGCCATCATTGCACTTGCCAGCTGTAAGCTTAGCTTCTGACTAAGCGGCTCTGTCCCTGTGGGAAAGGAGCACACTGACCACCAGCGGAAAGCTCTGCATTCAGCGTCTGCCCCCTGGTGGTCAGTGCACGTCATAGCTGTTCGGTCAATTTGCATATTAGGGTTTTATTAGATAGGACTGTTCCTATTTCAGAGGTGTAGAAATAAGGCTGAAACATGAAGTAGCATGTTAAACTATGCATTAGGTTTGTTCCTCCTTTGAATAAATCATATACCTACTTCATCAGACTGTAATGGGATTATCACAAGACTAGCACATAATTAGCACTGTAAATTTCTGTTAAACCTCACAAAGATAGTAAGGTCTGCTTTAAAAGAGTACTTTCAATGACTGCTAGCTAATTCCAGAAAGCCTTCACCCCCCCATTCCTATTAGCAGTCTCCTCCATCCCCACATCCCCTCCTCAGTTCCTGGAAACAACTGTCTCTACAGACTTGCCTAATCTAGATATTTCATATAAATGAAATCATATATCTAGACTTTGTGACTAGTTTCTTTCACTTATGCTTGTTTTTGTTTATTGAGAAATAATTTGCGTGTAGCAAAAGTCACCCTTTTTTGGTATACAGTCGATGAATTTTCACAAACTTACACAATCAGGCAATTGCCGCAAAAATCAAGATACTGAATGATTCCAGGACCCCAAAAGTTTCCTTCAAACTGCTTTGTAGATCATCCCTTTAAAAAAAATTCTTTTTGTTTTACTTTTCATAAGCTACTAATATTTCACTGCATGCATATATCACATTTTATAAGTCCATTAATAATTTGATGGACATTTGGATTGTTTCTACTTTCTGGCTATTATTTTAAGTAACACTGCAGTGAACATTGGTGTACATATACATGTGTAGATATATTACACATGTAGATATATTACACATGTAGATATATTACTAGTATATTACAGTTGGTGAATGGTAACACCATGTTCAACTTTTTTGAGGAACTGTCAAACTATTTTCGAAAGTGGCTTCACACTCCCAATAGAAGTGTAAGAGGGTTCTAATTTCTCCAAGTCCTCACTAATACTTACTATATCTTATTTTAGTTATTTTACTGAGTGTGAAGTGGTATCTATTGTGATTTCTTTAAAAATCTGTTTTTATTGATTTTAGAGAGAGAGGAAGATAAAGGGAGAGAGAAACATCGAGGAGAGAGGAACATCGATTTGTTGCCTCCTGCATGCCCCCTATTGGGGATTGAGTCTGCAACCTGGGCATGTGCTGACTGAGATTTGAATAGGTGACCTTTTGGTACATGGGTCAATGTCCAACCACTGAGCCATACCAGCCAGGCTCCTATGTTATTTTCCTGATGACTAATGATGATGAGCACCATTATATATACTTACTGGACATATATTCTTTGGAAAAATGTCTATTCAAAGCCTTCCTTAGCCTACATTAAAACTGAATCTCTTACTTTTTTGTTGTTGCATTATAAGTAGTTTACATATTTAGCATAAAAATCTCTTGCTGTATGATTTATAAATATTTTCTTTTTTATATTCTATTGATTTTTTACAGAGGAGAAGAGAGAGGGATAGAAAGCGAGAAACATCAATGAGAGAGAAACATTGATTAGCTTCCTCTTGCACACACACACACACACACACACACACACACACACGCGCGCGCGTGCGCGCGCGCCCTCAGGGATGTGTCCCCATGCAAGGTACATGCCCTTGACCGGAATCGAACCTGGGACCTTTCAGTCCGGAGGCCGATGCTCTATCCATTGAGTCAAACTGGTTTTGGCTATAAATATTTTCTAATTCTGTTAACTGCCTTTTCTCTTTAATAGTATTCTTTGACACACAAGTCTCAATTTTTATGAAATTCAATTTACTTTTCCTTGGTTGACTATGCTTTAGGTCTCATATATAAGAAATCACTGCTTAGTCCAGGTTATGAATACTTATAACTGTACTTTATACTAAAAGTTTTATACTTATCATACTCTGGCATATATGCATTTTATACATTTTTAGTATACCAGTATTGTGTGATATAGGAGTTCAAATTCATTCTTTTGTGGGTTGATATTCAGTTATCTCAGTACTATTTGTTGAAAATAAATTTCTTGCATGGAACTGTTTTGGCACCTTTGTCAAAAATCAATTGGTCAGAGATGTTTGGATTTGTTTCTGGACTTTCAATTATATCTTATTGATCTACATGGCAATCATTATGCCAGTACCATATGGTCTTGACTTTGGTAGCTTTGTGGTAAGTTTGGAAATTGGGAGGTCAGTCTTCCAAATTTGTTTTTCCCCATCAAGGGTTATTCTGAGTGCTTTTTATTTCCATGTGTACTTGAAGATTAGCTTGCCAATTTCTTAAAAAAAAGGCTACTGGGAAATTGTTTAAGAATTGTGTTGAAACTTCAGATCAATTTAGGGAGGGTTGCTATTTAATAATATTTACTTTTCAAATCTATATGGGATATCTTTCCATTTGCTTTAATTTCTTTCAACAATAGTTTTTTAAAAATATATTTTTATTGATTTCAAAGGGAAGAAAAGGGAGAGATAGAATCAATGATGAGAGAATCATTGATTGGCTGCCTCCTGCACAACCCCTACTGGAGATTGAACCTACAACTTGGGCATATGCCCTTGACCAGACTCGAACCCAGGACCCTTCAATGTGTAGGCTGATGCTCTATCCAATGAGCCAAATCAGGTAGGGCCAATAGTTAATTTCCAGTATATAAATCTCATATTTTTATGTTATTATAGTTAGAATTATACTATTACTTTTTGGGGGCTTGTTCAAATTGCTCACACATAGAAATAGCAGGGGATTTTTGTATAATGATCTTGTATACTACTACATCGATGAACTCAATAATTAGTGCTATGTGTGTTTGTGTGCATTTCTTAGGATTTTTTTGTATACAAGATCATCTCATGTGCAAAGAAAGATAGTTTGCTTTTGTATTTCCAATCCAGATGACTTTTATTTCTTTTTCTTGTTTAAATACCCTGGCTAGAATACGTAGTAAAATGTTGAAAAGAAGTGACATGAGAAGACATCCTCTGTTCTTGATTGTAGGGGGAACATATTCTACTTTTATTAACCACTAGAGGCCTGGTGCACAAAATTCATGCACAGAGGGTGTGTGTGTTGGCCCAGCCTGCACCCTCTCCAATCTGGGATTCCTCGAGGGATGTTCAACTGCCTGTTTAGGCCTGATCCCGGTGGCTTTAGGCCTAAACGGACAATCCAGGACTGCTGGCTCCCAACCACTCACCTGCCTGCTTGCTTGATTGCCCCTAACCATTTCTGCCTGCCAGCCTGATCACACTCTAACCACTCCTCTGCCATCCTGATAGATGCCTAACTGCTCCCCTGCTGGCTCAATTGTCCCTAACTGCCCTTCCCTGCTAGCATGGTCATCCCTAACTGCCCTCCACTGCAGGCCTGGGCACCCCTACCAGCCTTCCCCTGCCAGCCTGGTTGGCCCCAACTGCCCTCCCCTGCACACCTGGTCCCCCAACTGCCCTCCTCTGCATGCCTGGTCCCCCCCAACCACCTTCCCCTGCAAGCCTGAGTCCCCCCCTCCAACTGCCCTCCCTCAAAGGCCTGGTCCCCCGCAACTGCCCTCCCCTCCTGGCTATCTTTTGGTGGCCATTTTGTGTCCACATAGGGGCAGCCATCTTTAACCATATAGGGGCAGCCATCTTGTGTTGGAGTGACAGTCCATTTGCATATTACTTTTATTAGATAGGATAATGTCAGCTATGGGATTTTATAGATGCCTTTTCTCAGGTTCAGAAGGTTTCTTCTCATTCCTAGTTTGTTGATTTTTTTGTTTTGTTTTTTAATATATTTTATTGATTTTGTACGGAGAGGAAGGAAGAGAGATAGAGAGCTAGAAACATCGATGAGAGAGAGTCATCGATCAGCTGCCTCTTGCACATCCCCCACTGGGGATATGCCCGCAACCAAGGTACATGCCCTTGACTGGAATCGAACCCGGGACCTTCAGTCCGCAGGCTGATGCTCTATCTACTGAGCCAAACCGGTCCCGGCTTGTTGAGCATTTTTGGATATTAATCTTTAGTTTTCATTTCTTATGATGTCTTTGTTTGATTTTGCTAAGAGGGTAATACTTGCCTCATAGAATGAGTGGGAAAGTACCCATTACTCTTACTTCTTTTTAAGGGTTTTCAAAAGTTTAGTATTCAAATCTTCATTGCACCAACAGATCACCAGTTTGATTCATAGTCAGGACACATGCCTGGGTTGTGGGCATGATCCCCAGCAGGAAGTGTGCAGGAGGCAGATGTTGATGTTTCTCTTTCATTGATGTTTCTCTCTCTCTTTCCCTCTCCTACCCTCTCCAAAATAAGATAAAAACATATTTTTAAAAAAGAAAATACATTAAAAATATTTTCATTGAGCATTTGGTAGAATTCCCTAAGGAGGGCACCTGGGCCTTAGCTATATTTTGTCAGAAATTTTGAATTAATTCAGTATTTTTACCTATTACATATGTTTATTCAGGTTTTCCATTTCCTCTTGAGTCCATTTCAGGGTTTGTAACTTCCTAGGAATTTATCTACTTCCCCTAGGTTTTCTAATTTGTTGGCATACAATTATCATAGTATTCCCTTGTATCGATAGTACTTTTTAATTTCTGTCAAGTTGTTAGCAATGTTCCTATTTTCATTCCTGATTTTAATATTTGTGTATTATTTTCTTGGTCAGTTTGGCTTAAGTTTTTTCCATGTTGTTGACCTCTTCAAAGAACCAATTTTTTTGTTTGGTTGAGTTTGTCTTTTTTTTCCTCTATTTCATTACTTCTGCTTAAATGTTTAAGATTTCCTCCTGATTTCTTTGGATTTGATTTATTTATGAGGTGGAAACTTGGATGACTTGAGATTTATTATTTTTTGGTAGATGTTTATAGCTCTTTCTAAGTACTGTTTTAGCTAAATCCCATAAACTTTGGTATATTTTGTTTTTGTTTTTCATCTCAAAGTTTTTTTTCCAATTTCTTGCGATTTCTTTTTGCTCCTGATTATTTAGGATAGTTCTATTTAATTTCCTGATATTTGTGACTTCCCAAATTTCCTTCTATTGTTACTGATTTCTAATTTTATTTCATGTGGTAGAATATAGTTTGCATGATTTCAGTTGTTTTAAACTTATTGAGGCTTGTTTTTGGCCTAACCAGGAGGTGTAGCCTGCAGAAAGTCATATGTGCACTTGAAAAAAATGTGTATCTGCTATTGTTTGGTAGAGGATTGTATACATACATGTCTGTTTTATAGAGTTATTGGTGGCTTTTATTTCATTTCTAATTGTGTAGTTACTTGTTCTACCCATTACTTTAAGCAAAGAATCACAATTCCCAATTATTATTTGTTGAATTGTCTAAAAATATTATATACAAATTTGTGTAATCAAATTATTTACTAATAAGTATATATTATCCAGAGAGATTATGAGAAATAAAAAAAAATGACAAATTATATGTAGAAAACTGGCATTTTATAATCCGTTTTGAGCTCTAAAATTGCCATTAAAGATTCTGTTTCATTCTGCAGGAAAACAAAGCAAAACATGTTTAATTTTGCATAAGTATAGTATCCTTCACTTATTTAAAGAAAGAAGTTATAATTTAGAATTGAAGGACAGAAAAAGAGCTTTCCAGACAAGAAAAAATTAACGGAGTTCATGAATCACCACCAAATCAGTGTTACAAGAAATGTCAAAGGGTCTTCTTTAAGAATAATAAAAAATAAATTAAAAATATGAATAATAAAATGGCAATACCAAATAAAAATGGATTAAATGCTTCAATAAATAGAGACAAGGTAGCTGAGTAGATAACAAAACAAGACCCTTCTTTACATATGATGTCTACAAGAGGTTCACTTCAGATTAAAAGACACAGACTGAAAGTAAAGGGATGAAAGTAAAGGGATGAAAAAAGAGATTTCATGAAAATAAAAAACAAAAACAAACAATAAAAGCTCAAGTCACAATACTTATACCAGACAAAACGGACTTTAAAACAAAGGGTATATAATAAGAGAAAAAGGAAGACCTGACGATTCTATTTCTGGGTATTTATTCAAAGAAATGCCCATCATGAATCAAAATGACACATGCATCCACATGTTTATTGTGGCCTTATTTACAGTAGTGAAGATATGGAAGCAACCTAAGTGTCTGTCACTAGATGAACAGATAGAGAAGTGGTGCATGTACAATGGACTATGACAGCAAAAAAAATTAAAAATAAAATTTTGCCATCTGCAAATCACGGATGAAGTAGAGTATTGTGCTGAGTGCAATAAGTCAGACAGCGGAAGACAAATGCCATGTGGTTTCACTTATGTGTGGAATTTAAAAAAACAAAGTAAACAAGAAGACTGAAACAGTCTCACAGACTCAGAGAAGATTTTTACAGTTGCCAGAAGGTAAGAGGTTTGTGGGGGTGGATAAACAAGGTGAAGGAATTAAAAAGTACAAATTGGTAGTTAAAGAATAGTCACAAGGATATAAATACAGCATCAGAAATATCCTATATAATCCCATATAATAAAAGCCTAATATGCTAAGTGTCCAGTTGTCCATTCAACCAATCAAAGTATAATATGCTAATGATATGCTAAGGCTTTTCAACCACTCACTGACCAGCAGGGAGCAAAGAGTCGGCCAGTTGACCAGTCACTATGACATGCACTGATCACAAGGGGCAGATGCTCCAACTAGTAGGTTAGATTGCTGCTGGTGTCTAGCTGATCGTGACTGAGTGAGATAGTGTAGAGCCTTTCTGTGGTCCCTCCCCAGCTGGTGAAATATCTGTTCTAGAGGAATCTAGATGCTAGGATAGTGATTGGTGAAAATAAGATTGATTATGTAGATCAACAATTAAATAAAATTATAGAGAAATGATGAAATACAGTAAGACTATAATATCAGATTGTCAAAACCACAGATTTAGAAGCGGAAAGCAGGGTCAGAGCCACAGAATATGCATACGTATGAGGTAAAAGAAAAAAGAAAGGCCTGCTGTTTCTAGAAAACACTGCAGGGGCAAAGGCTACCTGAGCTCTGAAGAACATACATCTGGAGTCAAAACAACATCCTGTGGATACTGAGGTTTCTTCTAACCTTTTACAGCTTAACTCAATAGTCTCCATCTCTAAAATATACATAAATACCGTGTTTCCCCGAAAATAAGACATCCTTTGAAAATAAGACCTACTTACAGGTTTCCTTCTGAGTGAAATATAAGGCATCACCTGAAAATAAGGCCCCCCTTAGGCTAAACATGAGAGATTTGATCCACTGATTCTGAAAAAAAAGGAGTCACAAGAAATTCACCAGGAAATTCAGGAATTGGATTGTTATGATGATGTTCCAGAAGATGATAACATGATTGTCACTGAATAAATAAGTAAATTCTTGATACTGTAAGATTCACAATTTGTCCGGTTTGTGTTGACAACTACCATACTACCATACCGTATACAGGTAATAAATTCCCATTATTTTCATTTAACAATAAATGTGTACTGTATTCTTCTTCATGGAAAAATAAGACATCCCCTAAAAATAAGACCTAGTGCATCTTTGGGAGCAAAAATTAATATAAGACACTGTCTTATTTTCAGGGAAACAGGGTATATATTTCAATAAATATTGCTATAATCTTACCTATCACTTTCTAAATCATTAAAATATATATATCCATCCAGTGGTCATTATGGCAGGATGACCAGAACATGCCCATTGAGTATGATGTTGGGTGTAGGTTCGTCACATAAGGCTTTTATTATGTTGAAGTATGATCCCTCTACTCCCACCTTACTGAGAGATTTTATTTTGTCAAATGTCTTTTCTTCAGTAATTGATATGATTATATCATTTTTGTCTCTCAATTTTTTTATGTGATGTACCACATTTATTGATTTGCAGATATTGTACCAGCCTTGCATCCCTAGAATAAATCCTACTACTTGGTCATGGTGTATGATATTTCTAATGTAATGCTGGATCTGGTTTGCTAGTTATGGATTTTAGCATCTATGTTTATCAGGCATATTGGCCTGTAATTTTTTTCTTGCAGTGTCTTTAACTGGTTTTTGGATTAGGATAAAAAGTTGGCTTCATATAAAGAGCTTGGAAGTTTGCCTTCCTCTTGAATTTTTTGGAATAGCCTGAGGAGGATAGATTTTAGTTACTCTTTGAATGAATTTTTATTGATTTCAGATAGGAAGAGAGAGAGAAACATTAATGCTGAGAGAGAATAATTGTTCAGTGTCTCAAGCACACTCAGCCTGAAATTTGGCATATGCCCGACCCAGGAATTGAACTGTGTCCTCCTGGTTCATAGGTCAAAGCTCATCCACAGAACCTCGCTGGCTAGGCAGTATTATTGTTTTTATTTTATTTGTTCCACCACCATTTATTTCCTCTTTAGTTGCTTCCACCTTCACCCACTACCCTAATTATTTTTAAAAGCAATCTTAAATATTAGTATTATTGTCTGGAGAGAGGAAAAAGCCTTTCTGAATACTTCATGTACCTGGTACAAAATGAGAATTACAGTCTGGAGGGTCATCAGGCCTTGGATCAGGTGACTTTAATTGGCTTCCCATTTCATCTGTAGGTTGCGCAGGGACTGTGGGGACTATACCTTTGGGGAGAGATAGGGCACATGATTTGCAATGGAAATGATAATATGGTAATAGAATACATTCATTTTTTTTCTTGTTGGCATGCACCATTGGTTATATCCAATAAGAAATACACTCATATTTCATACAAAAAATATAATCTGTAAGTATATTAGACATCAAGCTATTATAATATTTGATAGATTTTTAGGCTGAATATGGATTAAAAAATAAAATATTAAACCATTGTTCTACAATCAAAACAAGGAACTTTCATGCTACTAGCTTCAGCTGTTCTGATGCTGGTTCCTATCTACATAAACTTCCTTTCACACTGCCAAAAATTCTTTTTCATAATATGTAAAGTCATACATAGAGTGAATCTGATTTTTCATGAATCCACTTTGGAAAATTGTTGTTTAGATAAATTCAAAACATAATAGAGTAAGTACTTAGTACATTCAAAACAGAGCATGATAAATACTAAATGGTTTAAAAGCCAATGGTGACAGATGCAGTTCAATTAAAGGTGGTTTAGTCTACATTTCCAGGGATTCACACTGTTCCCTATTCATCCTGAAAGACCTGTCACACTGATTGCTTCAAGAGAATATTTAAGTCACTTTTCCTGTTGTTGAAATCAGAGAACCTTTTATTTAGACTCACTATAAGGAACAGTCTGACTCTCTTAACTGATTTTATCTAAAAACAATCAAACACACACACACACACACACACACACACACACACACACACATACACACGCCATAAACAGTGTGTTTCTCTCCTTGTATCATGTCCTGCATTGCTTGATAATGCAGGGGTTACTTTTGAGCCCTCCTTTATGAAGACAGGCTGCTGTCACAGGATTTTTATTACTACTTCTCATTGCAGACTTACTTTCTTACCTGTATTTTTCTTAACCCAATTTTCCCACATACTTTAGAGATCAAAGGCATGGAGAAAGAGCTGACATGCAAATTAAAACACAAGGAATAATAATTTCAAAATTATGGGGAAGCCAGGGGAAATTTAACATTAGTAGTCAAGTTCCATAGACTCTCCTTTCCCAGCTGCTTTTATTTACTAGAATACATAATTGCCTTTTAGGAATGCAAACAGATATATCAGTGGTAATGCTTAGTAAACAATAAGATTATCAGGTTGTGGGGAGTTGGCTTTAAGCCATTGAGTCAACAGTAGGTAATAAAATGCAAATATTCACCTTGTGAATATCAAAGGAGCCCAGGTTAGCCTTCTGATGGACTTCTGGCATTTATATTAATTTCTGTTGATCTTGGTTTCCTGAAGACATTTGGGCTGCTTCCAAGTCTTGCCTATTGTACATAACACTTCAATGAAATAGAGATACATATTTTCTTTTGATTTAGTGTTTTGGGTTTCTTTGGATAAATCCCAGAAGAGTAATCACTGGCAGTTCTAATTTTTAATTTTTTTATTTTGGTAATTAACTCCATACTGTTTTCTATAGCGGCTGCACCAAACTGCATTACCACCAGTAACTAGTGTATCCTTTTCTCCACAATCTCACCAACACTTGTTGCTTGATGATTTGTTGATGACAGACATTCTGACAGCTATGAGGTGAGATCTCATTATGGTTTTAATTTGCATTTCTCTGATGATTAGTGACTTTGAGCAACTTTAATATGTCTCTTGACCATCTGTATGTCCTCTTTGGAGAAATGGCTATTCAGGTCTTTTGTCCATTTTTTAAATTGACTTAAATGGGCCGAGACCGGTTTGGCTCAATGGATAGAGCGTCGGCTTGGGGACTGAAGGGTCCCGGGTTCGATTCCAGTCAAGGGCATGAGAGAGGGCATGTACCTTGGTTGCAGGCATATCCCTGGTAGGGGGTGTGCAAGAGGCAGCTGATCGATGACTCTCTCTCATAGATGTTTCTAACTCTCTATCTCTCTCCCTTCCTCTCTGTACAAAATCAATAAAATATATTAAAAAAATAAAAATAAAAAATAAAAAATAAATTGGCTTAAATGGTTTTTTTTGGTGTTGAGTTTTATAAGTTCTTTATAAATTTTGGATATTAAGCTTTTATCAGATGTATCACTTGCAGATAATGTTCTATTCAGTGGTTTGTCTTTATATTTTGTTGATGGTTTCCTTTTCAGTGCAAAAGCTCTTTAATTTGATGTAGTCCAATCTGATTATTTTTGTTTCCCTTGCCCGAGGCAATATATCAGAAAAAATATTGCTAAGAAAAATGCCCAAGATTTTACTGCCTATACTTTTTTAAAGGATTTTTATGGTTTCTAGTCTAAAATTTAAGTTTTTAATCCATTTTGAGTTTATTCTTGTGTGTGGTGTAAGGTGGCCAGGTTTCATTTTTTACATATATCTATTCAATTTTCCAACACCATTTACTGAACAGACTATCTTCTCTCCATTGCATGTTAAATGTTAATGAACTATAAAGGTGTGGATTTCATTCTGTTCTGTTCCATTGATCTAAACCACAGTCTGGCCTCCCTTTGTGGGATGCAACCTGGCTGATCAGGGGAAGGCACCAGCTACATCACCCCACTGCTGCAGCCACTGCCAGTCACCACAGCCACCAAGGTGTTTTCATCAACACGGACTCCGGTCCCTTCACCAAGAAAAAATGACAACTTTCTTTAAGCGTTTTCAAGATGTGTCTTTCATATGATATCCATTCTTTATTACTTTTTTTTATCCTCACCTGAGGATATGTTTCTATTGACTTTTAGAGAATGTGGAAGAGAAAGAGACAGAGAGCAACATCAAAGTGAGAGGAACACTTTGATTGGTTGCCTCCTGCATGAGCCCTGATCTGGGCCCCTGCAACATAGGTACATGCCCTTGATCAGAATTGAACCAAGACCCTGTGGTCGGCAGGCTGAGGCATTATCCACTGAGTCGAATCAGCTAGGTCAGGATATGACATTTCTTAATCCTCCAGCAGCAGACCTTCGTTTTTTTCTCCAGAAGTGTGGTGGAAAAACCCTAGATCACCTTTTGGGATTCTTATTACCCAAGTTACGGTATTAAGAATATTATCAGTGGCATACAAGAAGCTTAGCCAATGTGCAGTCAAAAAAAGTGTTTCCTCTATAGTTCACACCAATCATGGGCTTGGCCGAAGCTTTAGGCCTGGGAGGGGTCCTTCAGCTCCCTATGATCGCCAGCTCCACCCGTTTTTGGCTTTGGGAAGGGGACCCCAAGCTCCCTGTGATCGCAGGCTCCCCTCCTGACCAGGTGTGCCCAGATGAAAAGCCTCCAGCTGAGGCATTTGGCCTTGGGCAGGGGACCATAAGCTCCCTGTGATCTCAGGCATAGCTCCTGCCCCCATATTCTGATTGAAGGCTTGATCCTGCCCAAGAGCCCCCTGGCTCAGGGCCTTCCCAGACTGCTCTGGGCCCACATGGCCTTACCTCACAGTGACCTAGGTACCAGGATGTTCCTGGGAAACAGGCACTGGGCGCCTAGGTATGCAAATTAACTGTCATCTTTTCTGGGTTAATTTGCATACTCACTCTGATTGGCTATGGATGTAGCAAAGGTATGGTCAATTTACATGTTTGTCTATTCTACCTCCACTATACTGAATAGTGGCCATTACCCCATTCACTCGAATCCTTGACTTTACCTTCTGAAAATAAGCTCTGCCTTCTCAGATTCAGCCTTGCCCCTCCCCCTTTTTTTTCCTGGGTGTTTGTTGTTTGTATTTTTTGGTTATTTTGTTGTTGTTGTTTTCCAAAAATACATACTTTTTTTCCTCCTTTTTCTTTCTCTCTTATATTTTTTCCATTTCTCAATATCATTTGAAACTCTTTTCTCTCCGCTAATTCTGTTTTCTCTGGTAGTCACCTTTATTTAGGATTATCTGTCATGAATACACTTGAGTTTTGTTCCTTCTGTGTCATGTTTTGTGGAGTTGTATTTTGTGCCTTTTGGTTAACGTGGAAGAGAGTGAGCAACATAACCAGACACTTGGAGAGAAGCAAAAATGGGGAGACAAAGAAACAGTCCCCATACAAAACAAAGTAGAAATCACTGGAAAGGGAAGTAAATAAAATGGAGGCAAGCAATATCTCAGGAGAAGAATTCTGAGAATTGGTCATAAGGATGCTGAAAAGGATGGAAGACAAATTCAACAATATGTTTAAGAACTAAAAGAAAATGAAATGAAAAATGGTATTGCTGCAATGAAGATCACAACAAAAACCGTCAATAGTAGAGTACAAGAAGTTAAGGACTGCATCAGCAAACTATAAATAAAAGTAGGAAAAAACACCAAAGCAGAGCAGCAACAGGAAAAAAAAAACACATAAAAAGCAGAAAGAGAGCCTAAAGAAGCTTTGGGATAAAAAAAATGAAACAACATCTGCATAATATGGGTACCAGAAAGACAGAAAACTGAGCGAGGAATAGAAAATCCATTTGAAGTAATAATGACATAAAACTTCACTGATATAGGGAAGAAAAAACTCACACAAGTTCAAGAAACACACAGAGTCTCAAACAAGTGAACCAAAAAAGACCAACAGCAAGACACATAATAATTAAACTGGCAAACTCCAATGACAAAGAATCTTAAAAGCAACCAGAGAGAGACAAAAAGTTACCTACAAAGGATCCCCCATCAGACTAGTAACTGATTTCTCAACAGAAACACACCAGGTCAGAAGAAAATGGAATGAAATATACAAAGTCATGCAAAGGAAGGATCTGAATGCAAGGCTATCAATCAAAATCGAGGGTGAAATCAGAAGCTTCACAGACAAAAACGGGCTCAGGGAGTTTATTCCCAAGAAGCCAGCAGTGCAAGAAATGCAAAAGGGACTGCTGTAAAAAAAAAAAAAGAAAAAAAAAAAAAAAAAAAAAAAAAAAAAAGGAATAGGAAGGGAAGAAGGAACACAGGAGCAAAGAATAAAAATGTCAAAAAAACAAGTACCTATCAATAATAAGCTTAAATGTAAATGCCTTCAAAGCTTCAATTGAAAGATATAGGTAGTTGAATAAATAAGAAAATATGACCTATATATTTGCTATCTACAAGAGTCCAATCTCAGAACAAAGGACTAACACAGACAGTGAGGAGATGGAAAAAAATTTTCAGGCAAATGGAAATAAAAACAAAGCTGGGGTAGCAATACATATATCTAACAAAAAAATACATCAAAGTGAAGGTCATAACAACAGATAAGGAAGGCCACTTCATAATACTAAAGGGACCAATACAACAAGAGTATATAACCCTGGTAAACATATATACACTCAATAAAGAAGTGCACAAATATATAAAAAGCCTTCTGGAAGATATCAAAGGACAAACTGACAGGGATACAGTAGGGTATTTTAATACCCCATTGACACAACCAGATAAATGGTCTCAACAAAAAATCAGCAAGCAAAGAGTCATCTTAAATGTCTCACTAGATCAGATGGAATTAACTAACATCTTCAGAATATTTCACTCCAAAGCCACAGAATATACATTATTCTCAAGTGCACATGAGTCATTTTCAAAGATAGACCACATACTGAGACACAGGCAAAGCCTATTCAAATTCAAAAAGACAGAAATCATATCAAGCATATTCTCTTATTGCAATGGTATAAAAGTAGAAATTAGAAAAAAAAGAACCAAGATGGTGGCATAGGGCAGACGCCCAAATGCAGCCTACCACAACAAGTTTGAATTTAGAACTGAAAAATAGGGGAAACATCACCCTGAAGCGCCGGACGGCTGGCTGAGCGGAAGCTCTACCATCTGGGAAGGAGAGAGAAGGCGTGCTAAACCTCAGGAACTGTGAAGGTACGGAAAACTGTGCACGCGAAAAAGCAGCTGCAGAGTTCGCTGCCTGCTTGCTTGCCAAGCGCCGAGTTTGCTACCTGCTTACTCCCTGCGTGCAGAGAGGGCAGACAGCTAATGCGCGGCTGGCTTTCTTGTTCGGGAGGAAAACAGAACCACCCTATTGCGCTGATAGATGGCCCCAGACAGGGAGAGGCCAGACTGTCAGGCAGTGGGCAGGGATCTCTCGGAGCTGTGTGAAGCCAGCAGCCATTACTGCGGGACTCAGAAACCAGATCCTTG